TAGAGGATTGATAAATACCTTCTCCGGGAATGACTATCCCTTACTAGTTAAATATAGAGCAAAATAACACACCTACCAATCTCAGGCCACGGTACACAATGGTCGAAGAGAAATCCGTTTTCATTCGTGTACCATTTAGAGGAGACGATGTGTGTGTGATTGCATCGGTTGTTTTTTTGTCGGCTTCGCACTACAGTTGAATTTACCCATTCTGCCGTGAAGCTGCTCACGATTCACTAACTCACTAACTCAACCAAACATAGATTCAGTCATCTCCAATTGCATTTATCTTTTTCTTTTCTTTACGGTTCACGGAGCGTCAGAAGGACTGAACGCCGTCCGTCGACCAGAATGCGTGAGCATGTTCCGAAAAACGTTTTTACTTGTAAAAAGAAAAGCTTCCAGCCAGCGCGGTTGGCACGAAATTTGCTGAATACGAATTACTGCATTGATAAACCGGAATCTTTTTCCCTATTCGCCTAAAACTTAGAAACCCAAGAATGTTTAGGTTTGCCCATACGGTTATCATTAACCGTTAAAAGGCCTTCATGACACAAGCAGTTGCTATTACCATGGTATTCGTGTTAATCACTTCCCCCTCTCCTCCCTTTATCTCAGCTATTTCCTGAACTCATCCTAAGCATCGCATCCATCTTATTTTGATAATGCATAAGTCATCTTGACCTACTTAATAGACTGATTTTCTATTCCGTTACCTTTCTACATTCGTTTGTTAATTATCCAGCACTTACTTGTAAATCTCTACCATCCGCAGAAAATCGGTTTCCTTGCCAGCACCCTATTTTTCTAAATCTGTGTAATCATTATTCCTCCTCCTCATTCACTCATCTCCAAATGAACTTGGTCATGACTCAACAATCAATTGTTTTCAGGCTTGTTGTAACCCGTATAAGTCAATAAGTACGCAAGCAGTGAATAAAGTAATTTTATTTCCAGAAAAGCAAATGCTGGTCCATAGATCGGCGAGGAAGCAGTGCGTCAACACGCAACCAGGCAGGCACAGAACTGGTGCAATGTTACCAAAAGGAGTAAGTTGTGACGACGCTGGGCAATCAACGAACCAATAAATGCGGATAGGTCAATGCTGACCTCTGATTCGCTGAGGCGGATTGACCTTTTAACACAGTAAGTCCGCATAACGTGCGTACGTGTGTGTGGTGGCAGGCCGCAAAGGACAATCACGTGATATGCGGTACACTCGGCTTGCATCCCACAACAAGGTTGAACCCACACAATCACGCAAACGTTCATAAATGGTTTTCGAAGCAAGGCAAAACATAGTTGTAGCTCGGGGAGTGGATTTAAAACTAACAATACTCGAAGAATCATTGTGATGAATTCGTATCACCTGTTGTGGGTCAGATGTATCTATCCTCAGCCAACTTCACGTCAGGGCCGATTTTAAGTGTTTTTCCAATGAGTAGTACAGTGCGATTGCTCCATCGTTTTCAGTCGTCTCGTTCCTCTCACCCGTGACCTTAAGCAAGTA